CGGATGAGACAGCTGATGAGAAACAGGTACCAAAACCCCTTTTTGCCTGACAATGTAGCGATGTGTGTGAATGGGTGTGGCTAAATGAGGGACCACCCCCCTTTGTTCTCCATGCAGTGAGGGGAACAAAGAGAAATGGGGGAGGGACAACCTATAATCATAATGGGGGCAACCACGGGGACCCCACGTGGCTCAATGTGATAACTTTATGACTATCTCAAAGCAGAAACAACAAAGAGGACAGGAAAGCCCAGAAAGAAAATAAAGAAACACGAACTTATTTCAACCAAATGAACAAACTCTTTATCAGCACAGATAAAAAAAACATCAGCATTAATTCAAAACCCTAAATCTGCCTGTCTCTCGCCTGAGCAGCACTTCTAATGCATCAAAAGGAAAGTAAATTGATTTTACTGTGAGATGCGTCTTCGTCCGGGGGAGGCTAGCGTTTCCACGACAACCGCAGCTTGGTTTCTGCCGCGCAGAGGGTTCTCTGCCACCGGTCCGCCCCTCGGGAAAGTTCAGTCAGTTCGGGGCTGCAGCAGAGGGCTTGATATGCTCACGAGTTGAAAAGGAGGGATTTTAGGAGGTGATCAGCAAGAGAGCGTCCTCTCAGCCAATTCGTCCAAGGAAGGGGGAAAACGAAACTCCGCGGTCAGCTTCAAAGGCTTCTGTCTCCCCAGTCGGCGCAGCCCCTATGCACGATGGAACACTGCGATCCGTGACTTTTGACGCAGGAAAACGAAAGCTACTTCCAGTCAGCTTTCTTCTGGTATTTCACGTGAAACGAGTCTCTCCTGGCGGGCTCCAAACCCATGGAAAAAGAGAGAGAGTCTTCTCACGCCGCGTTTTTAACCCATGGGTGACGTGCAGGCACTTCCTGTCTGCGTATCGGCTGATTGGTCCGTGCCGTGAGTGACGTGGGGGTAGTTCCTGTCGGGGTATCGGCTGATTGGTCTGTCTGAGGTGGCCATCTCCCACAGTGGGTTGGTACAGAAGTTTCATTGTGGAGAAGAACAGGGGGATGGTTCAGATGGCAAACAGGGGGATGGTTCAGCCCACTGATTTAGCTCCATGTTGGTAAAATATCTCAACACAATCTCAATCATGCCTTCCCTCCCTAGTGCCCCCACTCGCACCATAGAAAAAAATCAAATAATAAAATAACAACGCGGATACACATTCACACATAACACTCACATCCAATAATACCAGGACCAAAAACCCGGTGGTTGGTCCCGGAACTATCGGATGACCCAATAAGTGAACCTAAAATCCGGATGGGGGGGAGGGGAGCGGCGACACCGCCACACCAACCCATCTCATTCCTGCTTCAAGCCCTTAATTTTATATCCTGAAAGATAACCATACGTTCTAAAAAGATTCATCAGCTCTGGTAGCGATTCATTTGGCTGTTCAAGGAAAGTTATCACATCGTGTGTGAAAAGCCCTATTTTGTGTTCCTCTCCATTTACTATAACTCCCTTAATTTTCCCGTCTTGTCGTACTGCCTGCGCCAAAGGCTCTATAAAGAAGGCGAACAGTGTGGGTGACAGGCAGCACCCCTGCCTGGTTGATCTTTGTATGTTTAATTTGTCACTCAGGCTTCCATTTATTTTTAATTCTCACTGTGGGGTGATGATATAGTGTCTTTGTACATGTACTGATTTATTACTGAATCCAAATTGTTCAAATGTTTTATATAGAAATTCCCAATTTACTAAGTCAAATGCTTTTTCTGCATCGATACTTACTAGTATGGTACTTTGCTTTCCCAGCTGCCCTTGTTCTACTATGTGTAGTACTCTTCTAATATTATCATGTGTTTGGCGTCCTCTCATAAATCCTGTTTGATCTTCCTCTATCAAGTCTGTTACAAAAGTATTTAATCTATTAGAAAGTATGTTTTTGTATATCTTATAATCTACATTTAACAGTGAAATTGGTCTATGTTGCCACAGTCTTCCTTATCTTTTCCTTGTTTTGGGATGACAGGGATGATGGCTTCACTCCATGAAGGAGGTATTTTACTGTTACTGAGTGTCCAATTGAAAGAAGCTGTAAGTATTGGTGTCAACTCTTCTCTGAATGTCTTGTACCATTCTGCTGGGTATCCATCACTGCCTGGAGATTTATTATTTTTTAATGAATTTATTGCCTCTTTAACTTCCTCCGTTGTGATTGCTGCCGTCAATGTCTCGTTTTGTTGTTTGCCAATTGTTGGTAAATCTAATGCAGTTAAAACATTTCTCATTTCCTCCTCATGTGCCAATTCAGGTTGTGTATACAGTTTCTCATAATATTCTCGAAAAATGCCCTCTATTTCCTCTGGGCTGTCTGTTAGTTCACCTGTGTGTGGGTTTCTAATTTTGTATATCGCATTCCGTGTTTGCTGTTTGCGTATACGTTTCGCTATCAGTTTAGTTGCCCTTGAACCTGCTTCGTAGTAATTCTGTTTCAGAAATGCGTCCCTTTTTTCAGTCTCTCCTAGTAGTATGTCATTTATTTTGGTTTTAACTACCTTGATTTCTTGGTAAACCTTTCAATCTTTTGTTTTTTGATATTCCTGTTCTAATTTCCTAAGTCTATCCGTATTTTTCCTGTATGTCTTTAGTTTAATTCTTTTATCATGCGCAGTTTCAGCTGTCAACTTTCCTCTGATGACTGCCTTCATGGCATCCCATATTGTTGAGTCTACTGTTCCGGTATTGTTTTCTTTGGAATACTGTTTAATTTCTGCTTTTATTTTTTCTCTCTGTTGTTCACTATTCAAAATTCCTACATTCAGTCTCCATACTGAATTTCTTTTCCTTTTGTTCAGACATATCTTTAAATAAATTGGGTTATGGTCAGAAACATCTGCAGCTCCTAAATTGCATTCCTTCACTCTGTGTTTGTCCTCTGCTTTGGTTAGAATATAATCTATTCTTGAATGAACAGCCGAGTAATGTGTAAAATCTTTTCCTAATGGATGTAGGTTTCTCCATACATCTATCATTCCCATTTCTTCTAATGAGATATTTATAAATTTTGCTAAATGCATTTTAGATTTTTTGTGACTTGTTTTATCCATATTATGATTCAGAACTACATTTAAATCTCCTCCACAAATTAAAATTCCTTCTGTTTCTATCACTATCAAATCAAATATGTTTTTGAAAAAGTTTTTGTTACTCTCTGGGGATGCATACATTTACCAAGGTTATTAATTCATTTTCTATTCTTCCTTTCAATATTATGTATCTTCCTTCCTTTTCTTTTAATTCCCTTTTGTAATCAAATTGTATTGTGTTTGAAATTAATATTACAACACCTCTTCTACGTCCCTCTTTAAAAGAACTATGGTATGTATTCCTGTAGCCATACTTTTTTAGTTTTTCATGTTCTGTTTTGAATAAATGGGGCTCTTGCAAGAATATAATTTCTGCCTTTTCCTTTTTCAGTTTTGTCATCACCCTTTCTTTTTTACTCAGTGCGTTCAAACCATTTGTCATGATTGGTTACAGAGTAAGCCCAATATGCAGAACACAAACGGAAGCTGATGAAAAGTTTAACAAGGTTTATTGTTACACAAGCACATGAATATTTCAACTGGAACTGGTTCAGGCCTGGGGGCAGGTTCACTGGAGTCTTGAAGGAGTCCGGGTTTTGTTGGGATCCAAGGTTTGCCCTCCAGAGGGCGGTGTGGATCCCATTCTGTAGCTTCTGTTTCTGTTTGGATCCCTTCCTGTGAGCTTCTTTTCCTGTTGGGATCCAGAGGTTGCCCACCAGAGGGCGATGTGGATCCTTCTCCTGGGAGCTGGTTCTCAGCGCACAGCTGTTTCCCATCAGCTCTGCTCATTTACCTCTCCCCATATAAGCTGTGTGACAGCTTCACTCTGAGCCGGATCGTAGCATGTGTTACCCACAGCCTTGTTCAGCCTTGTGTTTCCTAGCCATGTGTTCCCAAGCCATGTAGCATGTCTTAGCCATGTTAGCCGTGTTTTGCCACGCCTTGCCATGTCCGTTACCTGTGCTACTCTGCCTGTCTGAACCAGCGAACCCGTGAGTTTTTCAGTTTAGTTTTGATCCCTGAGTTTAACCTGTTTTCTGTCCTCTCTGCCTTCCAGGGCAGATTACCGGTGTTCTTAAATAAATATTGGACTGATCCTTCCTCTGAGTCTGTGAGTTCTGCATCCTTGGGCTAGCACACCAACCACGCATCATGACAGGTTTCTCTTTGAGAGAGGTTACTGTTGGATCCAGAGACTTTTTGTTCAGCAGAGTCCAATAACTGCTTCAGCGTCTTACTTCTGACTATGAGGGCAGACCTTGATTTGGGTTTCCAGCTCTTAACCAAGAGCTGCGGGAAAATCCAGAGAGGAGTCTTCAGGTTTGGCTCACGAGGGTAGGCTCGGCAGGTTAAGCACATCCAGAGCTTCACGAAGAGACAGGATTCCAAACTAGATCAACACTGCGGCGTTGAGGCAAGGTCTGAAGGCAGGTTATATAGTGGTGGATCTTCTGATGATGAGATGGGCCACAGGTGTGTTGGGAGCTCAGCTCAGGAGGACCCACGGCGAACTCTGCTGGAGGAAGGTGGTTCAGCTCCAGATCCCAACAGTACCCCCCTCTCAACGACCGCCTCTTGGCGGTCCAGAAGAAGTCGACGGGAGGGAGCGCTCATAATCCTCTATCAAGGACGGATCGAGGATGTTGGAGCCAGGAACCCATTGGCGATCCTCCGGACCGTAGCCGTCCCAATCGACGAGGTACTGCCATCTGCGACATCGCCGACGGGAGTCCAAGATCCGACGGACGGTGAAGGCAGGATGTCCATCGACGTCCAGGGTGGGTGGAGGGGAGTCGGATGGAGGGCACAAAGGACTGGTGATAACTGGTTTTATCTGGGAGACATGGAACGTGGAATGTATGCGGAGACTCGAAGAATGTGCAGGCGTACGGCAGAAGGGTTAATGACCTGGCCAATCCTGCATGGGCCAATGAATGGAAAGCCATACCTCCTGACCGATGGCGTACTCTGGGGCAGGGCGTCTCTTGGAGTCCGCAAAGCGCTTGGTGGTCACAGGAGATCGATTGAGGGAGGCTATGGTGTCCCTCCAGACACTTTGACAGCGGCGGATGTGGTGATTGACAGATGGAACCGAAATCTCTCTCTCGTCTGCTGGAAAAAGAGGGGGTTGATATCCAAGACTGACCTGGAATGGTGATTGACCGGTGGAAGCAGACTTGAGGGAGTTGTGGGCATATTCGATCCATGTGAGGTATTGACTCCAGTCAGTAGGGTTGTTGGAGGTCAGACAGCAGAGAGTCGATTCGAGCTGTTGGTTCATTCTCTCTGTCTGACCGTTGGACTGTGGATGATAACCAGAAGTGAGTGACGACTTACAATTCAGAGCTGCACAGAAGGCCTTCCAGACTTGGGAGATAAACTGTGGTCCGCGGTCAGAGAGAATTTCCTGGGGAATACCATGGAGTCGGAAAACGTGCTTCACTAGGAGCTGAGCGGTTTGAAAGGCCGTGGGCAGTTTCCTGAGGGGAATCAGATGACATGACTTCGAAAATCGATCGACGATGGTAAAAATAATTGACATACCTCTGGAGATTGGGAGACCAGTAACAAAATCTATGGCGATGTGAGACCAGGGACGAGTTGGAACGGGAAGAGGATGCAACAGGCCAGAAGGCGGTTGATGTGAGGTCTTGTTTCTGGCACATATGGAGCAGGCCCAAATGTATTCCTTCACATCCTTGTGTAACGTAGGCCACCAGAAACGTCTGGAAATCAAGGCGATTGTTCGGCTCACCCCCGGGTGAGCGGAGAACTTGGCTGTGTGCATCCATTGAATCAGGCGAGATCTGACAGATGAGGGAACATAGGTTCTGTTAGGAGGACCGTTACCTGGGTCAGGTTCAGAAGCCAAGGTAGAGTTTATGAGATCGGAGATCTCCCAGGTAACCACTCCAACAGTACAGGAAGCAGGAAGAACGGGTTCAGGCGTCTCGGATTGATCAACAGAGTATAGATGAGAGAGAGAATCTGGTTTGATGTTCTTGGATCCGGGTCTGTAAGATATGAGGTTGAAACGGGAGAAAAACAGAGACCACCTTGACTGACGAGGGTTAGCTTGTTTGGCGGACTGGATGTATGCTAGGTTTTTGTGATCCGTCCAAACTAAGACTGGGTGTTCAGCTCCCTCAAGCCAGTGTCTCCACTCCTCCAAAGCGAGTTTGATGGCCAGGAGTTCTCGGTCTCCAACGTCGTAGTTTTGCTCTGCCGGGGAGAGTCTACGGGAGAAAAATGCACAGGGGTGTAATCTTTGATCAGAGTCGAGTTGTTGGGATAACACAGCACCAACACCAGAGTCAGAGGCGTCCACCTCGAGGATGAATTGCTTGGCAGGATCAGGCTGGATTAACACGGGAGCTCTGGAAAATAAAGTCTTAAGTTTATCAAAGGCAACTTGAGCTTCAGGGGTCCACTGGAAGGTCTTTTTGACTGATGTCAGGGTAGTGAGAGGTAGAGCTGTCTGACTATAATTCCTGAAAAATCGACGGTAGAAGTTGGCAAAACCCAGGAATCTCTGCAGCTGTTTACGGTTCTCAGGTACCAGCCACTCCAAAACAGCTTTTATCTTTTCTTCAGATTGCTTAACCTGCCCGCCCTCGAGCACAAACCCTAAAAAGGTGACTGAAGGTTGATGAAACTCGCATTTTCAGCCTTTACAAAAAGTTTGTTCTCCAATAGTCTTTGTAGGACCAGGCAGACATGTTTTTTATGCTCGGAAAGATTCTTAGAATAGATCAGAATGTCGTCAATGTAAACAAACACGAAGATATTCAAAAAGTCTCTGAGGACATCGTTGACGAGGGCTTGGAAACATGCAGGAGCGTTAGTGAGACCAAAAGGCATGATCAGATATTCAAACTGGCCCAAAGGGGTTTTAAAGGCTGTCTTCCACTCGTCACCCTCTCTAATCCTGAGAAGGTGATATGCGTTTCTTAAGTCAAGCTTGGTGAAGACAGTAGCCCCTTGTACTGGTTCAAAAGCTGATGCTAGTAACGGAAGTGGGTATTTATTTTTAACAGTTATTTGGTTAAGGCCTCTGTAGTCTATACAAGGTCTTAGGGAACCATCCTTTTTGCCCACAAAAAAGAAACCAGCACCCAACGGAGAGGAAGATCGGCGGATTATTCCAGCAGCTAAGGGCTCATTTATATATTTCTCCATGGTTTCTCATTCTGGTTTGGAAATGTTGTAAAGTCTACTGCTGGGTAGAGGAGCTCCTGGTAATAGCTCAATCGCACAGTCATATGGTCTGTGAGGTGGAAGAGACGTAGCACTAACCTTACTGAAGACAGGAGCCAGATCATGGTACTCGGGCGGGACAGAAAAAAGAGAGAGTCCAAGGAGAGTCCATCTCCCCCCTACCTCTAGGAGACCTTACAGCAGGAGCTGCAGAACGAAGGCATGTTTCATGACATGAGGTCGACCATGACTCAATGTGGCGTTCAGCCCAATTTATATGGGGATTATGTCATTCCAGCCACTCAAATCCAAGCACCAAGGGAGAACATGCAGAAGGAAGAAAAAAAAATGTCAGAGTTTCACGATGATTACCTGAGATCAAAAGCTCCAGAGGTTGCGTTTGATGGGTAACCTGATGAATTCTCTTCCCATCAATAGCTGAGACACTGAGTGGCTTGGTTAAAGGGACAGTTTCGATCTGTAGCTGCAGAACCAGGTTAGAGTCTATCAGATTTCGCTCACAGCCAGAGTCAATAAAAGCTGACAATGTGAGATTCTGGTAAGAGAAAAACAGGGTGGCTGGAAGCATCAACTGAGGAGATTTTTCAGTTTTCAAATGGCCCGTCAGACTCCTCAGATCCTCTGACGGGCCCCGGCTTTTGACTTAGCTGGGCATGAGGCAATGAAATGGCCAGTCTCACCACAGTAGATGCACAATTTGCCCCTGAAACGTCTTAGTCTTTCCTCAGGAGGTGTCCAACCTGCATAGGTTCGGCTTCGGTCTCAACCGAGTGAGATACCTGGACAGGCATAGAGAGAGACTGGGTTTTAGGCCTTGGCTTGGAAACGGGTTCTGTGGATCCAGAAAAAACAGAAGCATTATTCAATGCAGGGGCTGACACAGAAAAACCTTGACTTTTTTGTCTAGAACTGTTTCTAGCACGAAGTCTATTGTCCAACCTAATTGTTAGGCGGATTAAATCCTCCAGACTAGCTGGTTCATCGAGAGTTGCAAGTTCATCTTTGATATTGTCATTCAAAGCCTGGAAATATGCACCTTTAAGAGCACATTGGTTCCATCCGGAAGCTGCGGCTTTGACCCGGAAGTTAATGGAGAAATCCGCTACAGAGAAATTTCTCTGTCTTAGATTCAGCAAAGCTCGAGAGTCAACTGTTTGATCAGAATCCTGATTAAACACCTGGGAAAATTCAGAAACAAATTCAGAGAACGTACAACTGAAGCTGTCCTCGGAGGCAAACCTTGCCTCTGCCCACTCTAGGGCTCGTCCGGTTAGTTGGGACAAAATAAAAGTTATTTTCTTCTTATAAGTTGGAAAACTGCCAGGAGAATTCTCAAAAATCAGACGACATTGGAACAAAAAACCTTTACAGTCTTTCAGATTACCTGAAAACTTTTCAGGAAGACTAGGGCGGAACTCAGGAGATGACGTCACTGCCGGTGACCTTGGTGGAAGTGGATCAGGAACTTGACGTGTCGTTGACGTGGCATTAGCACTGCCCATGTTGCTAGCAAAGTATTTGAGCATTTGATCTTGGTAATTAACCATGGCATGTAACTCACAGAGGGTTTGAGTTTGTCCTTGAATCTGAGCGTCTTGCTCTTCTAACCAACGACGGAGGTGATCTGCTGGGCTTTGTGTTTGGCCGCAGCGTTCTGTCATGATTGGTTACAGGGTAAGCCCAATATGCAGAACACAAACGGAAGCTGATGAAAAGTTTAACTAGGGCTGGGCGATAATTCAATAACGATATATATCGATCGATAGACGTGTGGCGCAATAGAAAAAAAGCGGGTCGATAAAAGTTCGATAAAAAAGAAACGTAGTTTTCCTTCCTTCTCATTGTAGCCTAGCATGTAGGTTTATGCTAGTCACTGCTTCCTCCCAACCAATCACAATCGTGGACCCAGGCACGCTGTCACAAAGCGCCGCCCTCTCAAACCACAACACAGAGCACATGAAGATGTCGCAGCAAGGAGAGGCGGAGGAAATTGTTTCAAAGAAAGGTTTTTGTAGTTCGGCAGTCTGGCAGTATTTCGGTCATGGCAAGTCGGACCAAACACAAACCACAGTCATCTGGAAAATGTGTCGGGAACCAGTGAAAACGAAGTCTGATAACGAAACCAACTTTTTTTTATCATCTCAGCCGCTCACAGCCGTACGAGCTGTGTAGGCCCCGACGCGGCTCTCCTCCGAGGAATCTTCGGAAAATATATATATATTTTCATTTCTGGGCAGTTTCCCACGTAGATCTAACAATTGAGATAAAAATGCTGAGGGGCCAGAAACTTCAAAGTAATAACTCAGGTTAAAGCAGGAAACGGCGGCGGCGGTGGGGGGGCATTTATTTATTTGTTATATTTATTTTGGTCACTTTTCTGGTCACTTTAGTTTATTCTTTGTCAGTATTTAATAACATAACTCAGGTCTCTTAAGTTATTTTTCTTTAAAACAATTCTGTTATGGTTAAAAAAGTTGGTTAAATAAAGATTTAATTGGAAGTCTGTGTTTGTGTTTTTTATTAAAATTAAATCATTTAGCAATATCATAAAAAGTCCAGGCAGAGCTGCACATAAAATATGGTTTCAAATCTTTTCAATAATTATCGATATCGATCAATATGCATTTTTTTTTTATCGATAAGCTTTTTTTCTATATCGCCCAGCCCTAAGTTTAACAAGGTTTATTGTTACACAAGCACATGAATATTTCAACTGGAACTGGTTCAGGCCTGGGGGCAGGTTCACTGGAGTCTTGAAGGAGTCCAGGTTTCTCTTTGAGAGAGGTTACTATTGGATCCAGAGACTGTTTGTTCAGCAGAGTCCAATAACTGCTTCAGCGTCTTACTTCTGACTATGAGGGCAGACCTTGATTTGGGTTTCCAGCTCTTAACCAAGAGCTGCGGGAAAATCCAGAGAAGAGTCTTCAGGTTTGGCTCACGAGGGTAGGCTCGGCAGGTTAAGCACATCCAGAGCTTCACAAAGAGACAGGATTCCAAACTAGATCAACACTGCGGCGTTGAGGCAAGGTCTGAAGGCAGGTTATATAGTGGTGGATCCTCTGATGATGAGATGGGCCACAGGTGTGTTGGGAGCTCAGCTCAGGAGGACCCATGGCAAACTCTGCTGGAGGAAGGTGGTACAGCTCCAGATCCCAACACCATTCACATTTAGCGACATTATCTTGATATCAGTCATCACGATTTATTACTCCCTTTAAATATGCTCCCAAGCGTCTCAGAACAGAACCAGCATGAACTCATGCTAACCAAACATAAACCAAAAAACCAGCGGACTTTCAAACATGGGGTATCCTTCTTCCCCCAGTCCCAGTTGGTGGGTGGAGGGGAGATCCTCACCTCTGTCGAGGGCCCCTCCCTAGTATTAGAACCACTCCCATCCTGTTGGGCAGCGCTCCATCTAGACATGTCCAACTTAAATGTCTTACCATCTCCCAGTCGGTTTTAGTTGAATCCTCTTTTCTCGCAAAGTCAACTTCTTCTGAAAGCAAAACAATCTAGGATTTCCACTGGAAGCTTTGTAATTTTTCTCTCACTCGGTGTGCCGCGTCACGTTCCCGTTCTTTCCCCTTCACTCGCTGCCACCCCACGGCTCTGCGCTGTTTCTCCCCCGCTGCTGCGGCGTCTCCTCCTGGCTCAGCCACCGTGTAACCCCTTTCCTTCATGTCCTGCGCTGCTGACCTGGCACTATCGTACATCTTAGTCCCGTTCTCCCAATGAATCCGAATTTTAGCGAGCGGTGTATGGAAACGTATTCCTTTCTCCTTCAATATTTTTTTAATGCCCGAATATTCCTTTCTTTTCTGGACAATCTCGGTCGGATAGTCGTGGTCGAAGTAGATTTGTTTACCAGATACCTGGATTTTTTTCTTCCAGGCTTTCTTCAAGATCGTTTCTTTGGTCTCAAATTTTAGAAAGTTTATCACAACTGACCTCAGCGCTACATTTAGGCCTCGGTTTTGGGGCGAGGGCTCGGTGGGCTCGTTGGATCTGGAGATCGATCCCCTCTGGAAGTTCAAGTTCTTTCTTAAAAAGTTGTTCCAGAAATGTAGCTGTATATCTCCCTTCTACATCCTCTGGTAACCCGAAGATTCTGATATTGTTTCTCCTTGATCTCCCTTCCAGATCGGTTTGTTTTTCCTGCATTCACTGAACTTGATCCACCATCTTCGTTAGCACTTCGTTAGCATCCACCTTCCACTCCTCCACCTCTGATATTCGGGTCTGTGTCTCGCTAATGTTCGCTTGTTGTGCCTGTAGTTCCCGGTCATTCTCGGACAGCCGACGGTCTATTTCTTGTCGGAGGTTCATTATTTCTTCCTTCATTTCATTTCATTTCATTTCATTTCATTTCATTTCATGTCCTTTCCTGACACAGCTCTTGTTTAAGGGTTTTAATATCACCTCTGATGGCTGCGAGCCCATTTTGCAGCGCCTCTGTGCCATCGTGTTCTTCCATTTCCTCTGTTAGGGCTTTCTCGTGTTTGCTAGCTTCGTGTTCGGAAATTTCTTCCGTTGCAGCCAGTTCTTCAATTCTGTCTTGCTTTTTACTATTTTTCCGGCTTCTTCTCTTGCTTATCCCACTTATGCTTTAGATTTATCTGTCAAGTTCTAATTTTGTTGTGGGCATTTTTCCCCTACTCTGGAGAGCTAGCTGACTATGCTTCTATTCCCTCCGCCATCTTGCCTCCATCTCCCAGGTGTCACTTTAAATAACACTAATGCAACTGGTTAGTTGCATCAGTTGCACTTATTACTCTGTGCACTGCTCATTCAAATATTGCCAACAAGTACATAAATAAAAAAATGCTGCACTAAGGAATTAGCTAAATCTGGAAAATAATTAAATATTATTTCTACATTTAACAGTTGTTTCAACACTGATTTGTGTCAATGGATTTCTTTATTTTAATCATTTATAACAACTTGTATCATGTCACTCTCACACTCTCCAGAGAAATATTGCATTTGTTACTATGAATGTACTTAAAATTGCTTTTTTCTACAGATTGCTTCATTTCTCAAGCCAAATTTGAAAGCACATTTACAAAAGTACAGTTAAGATAATTTATAATTACTCGAGTATCATTTAAGGCATAATCGATTAGATCTTTTAGTGGCTAAAGCAATAACTTAATTCTTGTTAAATGACTCATCTTTGAGATCATACGTTAACATTCATGGGGTACCACTCTTCAGAAGCTCAAATGGACTTGTGGTCAATTTTGGCCATGACTAAGCAATCTCTAAAGTGTCATTTACCTGTTAAGCACCGCTCAACCACATCTGGCTTTTTAACGTAAATTGAACCTCTACAGACTACTACTTGGTTGGGAAACGAGGCTTTATGACGCACATTGGAAAACTTAAATGGCTTCATTGATCGGTCTGATTTCAGGTGTCTTGTCTTGTAGAACCTGTGTTTCACCGTTTCTGTTTCATCTTGTCATTTGCCTGTACTTTCTGTTTACATTTAATGCCATTCTGATTGTATGCGTAACACAGAAAGACTTATTATTATGGTACCTGTATCTCATCAGCTGTCTCATCAGACTCTTGTGACGTAATCTAAATTCATTGTTTTTTGCATAAAAATCAGTCATATAAGATCTTTGTCTCTGTCTGAATCTTGTGTTATTCCTGTATAAGTTACGGATATAATTTTTTTTGCTTTTGCTGAAACTTTAAATCATTCCTGTACAAATTTCTTATATGCAATCTCGTTCTTTCTCTAAATTCAACACTCTGTCTGTAGAGATTTTTCTCATAAAGGTTTTTCTTCTGATTTCTATCAATGTTGTTTTTATGATATTGGGAGGAGTAAGATTTTTTCTTTGCTCTGAAAGTTTCTTTTGTGGCTTCTTTTGCTTTCTGGTTCTGATTATTATTATTATTATTTATTTTTTTTGCCTCTTCTGTACTAATTAGTCTCCTCATTTCCACACTAACCGGCTCCTCATTAACCTTCTACTTTGTTTTTTACTGTACTTCAACATTTTAGAAGAGAATCCCAGAGGTACACCTGTTGATTCTTCTCTGCTAGTGCTAGGGGCTGTCAGATGTTTTTCTGCCACAGCCAAAAAATAACTGACCTCATCAGATACACCTTGAGTCGCATCATGGGAAATACCACTTACAACAGGGTTCATGACTCCATCTGCACAGTTTGACTTGTTTGCTGGCAGATCATGTGTTGGGTGTTTGAATTCAACGTCTTGTTGAACCACATCTGTATTTACTGACATCTTGGGTAAAACATTCTTAGACTAATTGGCAACTGTCTGTGAGTTGAACTCAGTTGTTACGGCCTCTGGCCTTTTAAGACTGTGCAGGCTTTTCTTATGCAGGTTCAGCTCTGACAGATCTTCCTTGTTGGCTGCCTGAGGACTGCAGAGGAGCAGTGACATGATTGCACCAGCAGAAGAGTGTCAAGCCAATCAGGATGCTGACGAGGCCCACCTGCACCTTATAAAAGGCTCCTGAAAAGCTTTCAGTTTGGGGACAGCTAGTAGGAAGGTTTTGTTAAGCTGTTCCCCCACCTTTGTTTTCAATCTGTTTTGGGAAGATAAAACTCTTTGCCATAGCTTGTATATATTTTCCTTAATCTGCTTTAGGTGGACTTGTTCCAGCTAGTAGCTTTTGTTTGGGAGGTTTGGTGCTCCCTTTGTCTTTTCTTCTGGGTTGTTTTGTGTTGAAACAGTCTGACTGGTTTGGGCAGTCTGTAATTTTATCTGCTCTTAACCATTCTTGAATTTGTTTGCCCTTATCTTTTTTTTTTTGTTTGTTTCAATTTGGTTAAGCTGTATTGTGTTTTGGGTCTGTTTAACCTTTTTTTTTGTAATAAATCAATTTTACCTTCCCCCAAACTGCTCTGGACACATTATTTATGTTACCTCCCCAAGACCCCTAGACCTTGGGGGGCCTAACATCAGTAATAGCATCATTAGACAGAGCAGAAGTAGTAGCTGTGTCTTAAACATCTCTCCTCCTGCTGTGTGGATCCTCTGTGTTAAATGACAGGGGCTGGAGTTCATAAAAACAAGATGACTTAAGCACACATAATACCTGAAAGACACAAAAGAGAACAATCATTAGAGTCCTGTAATAATAAAACTCAGTGAAACAGCTTCTTGCTCACATTCCATCTTAAAGTTACTAATCTGAAAACATGTGCTGGTAGTACCATGTATAAACTGTTGTGTAATGTTTCTGAAAGAAATGCTTGGTAATAGGTGCTTATGTTGCAATCAACATAAACATCTTTTCTGGTCCTCTCGAACTTTTGAAGAGGTCTTTTCACTGTACTGATATTCACCATGACTGAGGTTGGGTTAGCCATGTCAGCAATTCTGATTAATCTTCCAAAACATTGATTAAAATGTTAAACTCTCCTTTACTTAGTAATGAAAAGACTTGACCTCATCTACCAAAAATAAACTGACCTGCAAAGCAGGAGTTCTGGTCGACTTCCCTGTAGGTGTGAGAGAATTAGAAAACCATCAGAAAATGCCTCGTTCTTTCTGTTAAAGTTTAAAATCAGATTGATCTTTGTTGGACTTCTGGATGATTTTCATATGACGGGCGTAACAAATCATTTTCAGAAAAACAAGAAATACCAGGTTCTTCTCTAGGTGACTCTACAAAGCTTTTTGAGGACAGATTTCTAAGTGAGTTCAGTTGGACTTTAGGTGTCATTGCACAATGTGGCATTCAACCAAATAAATAGCATTTCCATTTCAAAGCATCTACAAACAAATGTCTTGAAACTAGTGATGGTGAGATGAAGCCTCATGAGGCATTGAACCGTTTGGCCAAATTGCTTCAACGATCCCCACAGTTCATGATGCCTCATGTGAACATGTCACCACCTACTGGTGGAATGCAAAACTAAACTTAGTAATAAAATCTGTTATGTTTGCAATGTTTTTATAAAAAAATTGTTTATGATTGTTGCTTATAATATCATTTGGAAAGTTTTGTGTGTGTCCCATTTCTTGGAAAAGAAGAATCTCTTAAGGTACACCATTTTCTGTCATTTTAGTGATGTAAGCTCAAAGAGTGATACAGTGAAAGTGCTTGTGCAACTTGGGCAATGATAAGCAAAATTAAAGGTTTTTATTAAGAAATAATAATTTTTCCACAGTTTTGGGCTTCAGTCTATTTCTTTTTTGACACACAACTTCACCTGCCTTTGAGAACACACGCTCACAAGGCACTGAAGATGCTGGCGTGCATAAAAAGACACGTACACGTCTATATAAATTGGGGTACTGGAGTTTTTTTCCCTCCCAGTACTTCAATGGATTTTCCATTCTTGTTATGTTGGGCTCTGAAAGGTAGCGCTGGACTTCCACAGTGACATCTGCAGTCACATTTTTTGATTTTCTGGCCTCCATCACGCTTGCATCTAAATGATGCCACAGTTTGCTACCTAAAAGAGAAAAGCAGATGTTAGCAAAAGTAAGATGTAAAAGTTCAAAACAAAAAAAGACTGGTCACAAAATAATTACCTCCAGTAGCATCTTGAGAAGTCGAAGCCTGGGGTGTTTCATCAGAGCTTGGTGTAGAATGCATCATTGTGGCACATTCAGAGGTCAGTCTCTTAATTGCCTCAGTGGCTTTAGTGTGGCTGAAAAAACCAATTACTTTGAATCTGGGATCAAGCAGGGTAGCTAGAGCTAAAATGCTCATGGATTGTAACATTTGTAGCTTTTCCCGTAGTTGCCTGATGAGGTGGTCTCCAACTTCATGTGACGCAGGTGGTGCTGGTTTGGCCATCTCCTCCTGAAGGCTCTGCTCCAACATCTTTAAGAGGGGAATGACTTTGGAGGCAGAAACAGTCTCCTCTGCAGACAGCTCAACAGTAGCATAATAGAAGGGATTTAGCAAAGAAAGGCACCCTCGAACAATTCTGAACTCCTCTGATGTCAGAATGGGAATGTCAGTCTGTAGTCCAGCTAACGTTGCTCCAACTGGCTCCCGTAACTCCATCAGACGCTGCAACATTAAATAGGTGCTGTTCCATCTGGTTTCCACTTCCTGCATCAGCTTCAACTCTTGTAGCCCCAGATGGCGCTGTACTTGTGAAAGCTTCTCCTGTTAAATACACAGATAAAAAGACAAATCACTGTAGTAATAACAAAATAATTAGATTTATGATAATCTGTAATAATGGGAAAGAGCATACCTTAGCAGTAGTGCTGCTTCTAAAGTAGCCAACCAGCTTCTGTGCTTTAGCCCGGATGCCAGAGAGCACAGGGTGCTGGTCAAGGGACTTCTTCACCACCAGATTCATTGTGTGGGCGACACAAATATGATGCCGAAGCTTCAGCTCCCTCACACAGGCAACCATATTAGGAGCCCCATCAGTCACCATACAAGTTACCTTGTTGGATATCCCCCACTCCTCCATCATGGATTTTTTCTCACACGCTATATTTTCAGCAGTATGTGACTGGGGGACTGCACTCCCAGCTGCACAGTATTGAGCCTTGCTTTGTCATCCAGAAAATGACATGTTACAGCCAGGTAGGCATCCATGTTGATGGATGTCCACATATCAGTTGTAAGGCTAACAGCAGCCACCTCTCCTACTTTAGCCTTGGCCTTCTGTTTAGCAGACTCAAATTTTTCTTCCACCATGGCCTTTAGAGCCTAAAATAAAAATAAAAAAACATAGAGCTAAATTATGAGGAAAACAAAGTACTCTTTCATTTAATGAATGTATCAATATATACCTGCCGAGTTGGGAGAACATAATTTGGATCCAATTTTGCCACAAATGCCTTGAATCCAACCCCATCCACAATGCTGAAGGGCTGTGTATCCTTCACAACGAGGTTGACCAGAAGCTCATCCAGCTCTTGCTTCCTGGTGGCTGGTTACAAAGAAATAAATAACAGTGTCCATTACCTGTTTTGGTTATTAATTTACTCAATAAACAAAATACCATAAAGAAAAATGTCGTCGTGTATGTATACTATTTTAATAACTTACCATTTCTGGGCATGGCTCCAGTGGCCTCCTTATTCTCATGCAGGGCACGGTAATGCCTCAGCATGGAAGAGGTGTTGTTATTGTATCCCACATTGTGGGAAAATTTATATCTTTCTCTAATTATATATTAATATTCATATTTACTCACTATAAAAGTTTTCACTCAGTCTGTTTCTCTCTCAAGGCCACACCATTCCCTGCAGAATGTTGTTTGTAGACCAGACATAGCTTCTTCCCATAACAATCCAGATTCTTTCTCAAGGTTTATTCATAACATGTTACTGTTAAGCAAAGTGTGTGTAATTTGTTATGACTCTGACTGCTTTCCATTGTTGTAACTAGGGGGGGACGAACCCTGCCCAGAACAGAACAGAGCAGAATGCTGTGCTGAATGATGTGTCATGATGACTGTTCTCTCTTTGCAAAGATGATTAATAAATGTGCCGACTGAGTGAAATCCATCGATCTCTGTTTATTTAACTAGGATGAATAGTTAAATAGTTTTTTCCCACGACACCCAACTCCTTGGAACACAATAAACACTTCACCTATGAATCATTAGGAGTTAATGAAAATAAACAGCTGTTGGGGAAAAAAATGTAAGTAGGTTAGATTCAATAAATTTACCTTAGTGGGAGAAATCAGGTCGAAATGCTCCCACATAGGTGACATCCTCCTCTTTTTTGCCTGCTCCATATCTATCCTCTCCACTATCTCCAAACTCCCAAATCTCTCTAAACTCTCTCAAAAAATCTAACTAAACTATCTCCAAACTTTAACCGAACTCTACCAAAACACTCAACTGACAACAAATCTCTTGCAAACTCCCACATCTTGACTGAGTACTGAGGCTGTTTAAATGCCTTTCGAGTTTCGCGCACAATCTGAACCGCTTCCCGTAGCGGTCACGTGGTATCACGGCAGCGAGGCCTCGGACGTTGGCAATTTTGGCCCCTCCCCTAACTGAAGCGCGCCTCGACACACGCCTTGGGGAAATGCCCCCTCCATTACTCGACACACGCCTCGAAGCCTCGGCTCATCTCATAACATCACTACTTGAAACGTCTCCTCTATCCTGAGTCCTCCTGTGTGCTGAGATGGACACAGCAAACAGGAGGACTACACCATTGACTCTTGATGGTTATTGTTTCACTGAGTCATGTTTCTGACACTGATGGGTAACAGCTGCTGAGGCCAGGATGAGCATCAGAAAATATGTTCTGACTTTACATTTTTTATTTAATCTAAATTCATGTATGATTCAGAGTGGATGAACTAAATAAATTGTTGTGATAAACTAAATTAACAAAAGGTCCATAAAATAAGCAGGAACTTTCCACTGAGTGATGGATGTAAAGGAGAGCTCTAAAAAGAAATCCAGTCACCAGCAAAGCAGGAGATCCGGTCCAGTTCTCTCTAGGAACAAGAGGAGAAATGGTTTGTTAGTGACTGATCCAAACACCATCACAAATCCAGAACACGTAGATCGTGAACACATTTTACTCACTCCTAAACACCTTGCGCTGTAGTTGATAAACTAAAAAGTATTAACTGAAGGGGGCTGAATCAGTTTGGACAGTCAATTATATATATATATATATATATATATATATATATATATATATATATATATATATATGATTTGATATATTTTAAAAAAACACCTTTACAAGTTCCAAAACAAATGATCATTTCAGGAAACAAATTTACATAAAAAATAAACAAAACACTTTTAAAAATTCAAAACAAATAGCATTTTAAGGAAACAAATATAAAACATTCTAAATACTTTTACAAGTTCCAAAACAAATGATCATTTCAGGAATTCAACTGGAAATGGTGGGTACCAACTCTGAGGCTGAACCGGTCTTGTGCGAAATTCTGTTTCTGTCCCCCTGTATCGGGAGTGCGCATTGCAGCCAGAGAGGCATTATTTCATTCTCTTTTAATTATGGCAAATGGAGAGTAAATATGACCGAATGCACAGGATTTGTTGTTGATGAAGAGAGGAATAAACACAGTGAAAGACATGCTGGTACGTGAATTTCTTCCCATGTTATGGAGGGGAACAGATTATTTCAGTCAAACATCCATTCTCTCCTCTCCTCCTCCCATATCTTTGGGAAATAAAGAGCACAACTGTTTCCAATTTCTCTAAAATTGTTATGTCTGATGTGTTATACTAGAAATGTCCTTAATCCAGTAATTAAGGACAGCATATTTTACAGCATATTTTACATCAGAATGGGATTAACCAGGAATTCTACACTCTCAGGACGTCTCAATGTGTGTGCCCTGCTATCAGCCAGTTTCCATCCTCTTATATCAGCAATAAAAAATAAAAAATACACTACGTGTTGGAAATCTGTTTGGTGACTGACGTTTATTTCTGTCAGGCTAAAGGGACAAAGTTGGAGAAATACAGATTCTCTTGGCATTTAAAAAAAACACAAAACAGCGCAAAAAGACCTCTTTAATTTGTATTTATTTTACAAATTTGTAAAAAGAGCAACCGATTAAACTGAATGTTACAAAGTTGACATAATTACAGGTGCTGGTCATAAAATTAGAATATCATGAAAAAGTAGATTGATTTCAGTAATTCCATTTAAAAAGTGAAACTTGTATATTATATTCATACATTACATACAAACTCATATATTTCAGATGTTTATTTTGTTTAATTTTGATGATTACAAATGACAAGAAATGAAAATCTCAAATTCATCATATCAGAAAATTAGAATATTACTGAAGACCAATAAAAACAAAGGATTTATAGAAATGTTGGCCAACTGAAAAGTATGAACATGAAAAGTATGAGCATGTACAGCACTCAGTATTTAGTTGGGCCTCCTTTGGCCTGTATTACTGCAGCAATGCGGCGTGGCATGGAGTCGATCAGTCTGTGGCACTGCTCAGGTGTTATGATAGCCCAGGTTGCTCTAATAGTGGCTTTTAGCTCTTCTGAATTGTTGGGTCTGGTGTATTGCATCTTCTTCTTCACAATACCCCATAGATTTTCTATGGGGTTAAGGTCAGGAGAGTTTGCTGGCCAATTAAGAACAGGGATACCATGGTCCTTCAACCAGGTACTGGTAGCTTTGGCACTGTGTGCAGGTGCCAAGTCCTGTTGGAAAATGAAATCTGCATCTCCAAAAAGTTGGTCAGCTGCAGGAAGCATGAAGTGCTCTAAAACTTCCTGGTATGTGGCTGCGTTGACCCTGGACCTCAGAAAACACAATGGACCAACACCAGCAGATGACATGGCACCCCAAACCATCACTGACTGTGGAAACTTTACACTGGACTTCAAGCAACGTGGATGAAGTGCCTCTCTTCTTTTCCTCCAGACTCTGGGACCTTGATTTCCAAAGGAAATGCAAAATTTACTTTCATCAGAGAACATGACTTTGGACCACTCACCAGCAGTCCAGTCCTGTTTCTCTTTAGCCCAGGCAAGACGCTTCTGACGCTGTCTGTGGTTCAAGAGTGGCTTGACACAAGGAATGCGACAGCAGAAACCCATGTCTTTCATACGTCTGTGTGTGGTGGTTCTTGAAGCACTCACTCCAGCTGCAGTCCACTCTTTGTGAATCTCCCCCACATTTTTGAATGGGTTTTGTTTCACAATCCTCTCCAGGGTGCGGTTATCTCTCTTGCTTGTACACTTTTTTCGACCACATCTTTTCCTTCCCTTCGCCTCTCTATTAATGTGCTTGGACACTGAGCTCTGTGAACAGCCAGCCTCTTTAGCGATGACCTTTTGTGTCTTGCCCTCCTTGTGCAAGGTGTCGATGGTCGTCTTTTGGACAACTGTCAAGTCAGCAGTCTTCCCCATGATTGTGTAGCCTATAGAACTAGACTGAAAGACCATTTAAAGGCTTTTGCAGGTGGTTTGAGTTAATTAGCTGATTAGAGTGTGGCACCAGGGGCCATCAATTTTGAACCTTTTCACAATATTCTAATTTTCTGATATGATGAATTTGAGATTTTCATTTGTTGTCATTTGTAATCATCAAAATTAAACAAAATAAACATCTGAAATATATGAGTTTGTATGTAATGTATGAATATAATATACAAGTTTCACTTTTTAAATGGAATTACTGAAATCAATCTACTTTTTCATGATATTCTAATTTTATGACCAGCACCTGTATATGAGCTATTTTTACCGAAAAATGATCAGGAGCGCCTTGAAAATGGTCAGATTTGCCTCTCTGGCTGCAATGCGCGCTCCCGACACAGCCAGAACAGGAACAGAGTTTCGTACAATGAACTTTTACAAACCGTTAGCCACAGCCGCTTAACCGTTAGCCACGGAAGCGGCTCACTGTTATTACAAACTGTTAGCAACAGCTGCTAATGGCCTGTAGCGCAGGCGGGTCATAGCTATTACAAACCAGTCAGAACCAGTTCAGAGCTTGAGACATTTTGAATAAACGGCAACAGCATTTCTAAGCCATAATTAAATTTCACAACCCATGTATTTCAAAACACGTAGCTCTGTATAAAACACATTTATTCCACTGTTCAAATTCATATATATATATATATATATATATATATATAGTATATTAAGACAGCGCGACCGTAGCTACTTACCCGATCAGATGAATGGGATGGATTCATCACTTTACTCTGTTTTAGTTTTACATATGTGTATACAGGACTGTCTCAGAAAATTAGAATATTGTGATAAAGTTCTTTATTTTCTGTAATGCAATTAAAAATCATGAAATGTCATACATTCTGGATTTATTATAAATCAACTGAAATATTGCAAGCCTTTTATTGTTTTAATATAGCTGATTATGGTGTACAGCTGAAGAAAACTAAAAAATCCTATCTCAAAATATTAGAATATTTCCTCAGACCAAGTTAAAAAAAAAATTATAACAGCAAAACAAAATCAAACATTTGATAATGTCCATTAATGCACTCAGTACTTGGTTGGGAATCATTTTGCATAGATTACTGCATCAATGCGGCGTGGCATGGAGGCAATCAGCCTGTGGCATTGCTGAGGTGTTATGGATGCCCAGGATGCTTCAATAGCAGCCTTTAGCTCATTTGCATTG